AATTACCTTAGATAATTTTATTCTTTTTTTATTTCTATTCGTGCAAGCTGTTGTTTTTTTTTTCTTTCTTTCTTTCTTTTTTTCTTTTTTCGGCATCGTTATAGATTGCGCAACGAACCTCTTATTACCGTGACGACAAAAATGCCGTTAGATTTCAGGTACTTGGCTCTTGGGATCAATACGTTTAAGAAAAGAGTTATTTACTGAAGATTTATTCTGGCTCGTATAGAACAATATTCACACCGCCTAACTTTATACTCACAAGCATTATTTCATTAACTTTTTCGATGAAAAAAAAAAAAACGCCTTACAATTATTTAAAGATATCTTTAAAATTTTAATTGAAAGAAAAATAAAATGTTAGTTATAAGATAAAAAAAAAAATCCTTTCGCTTTCATGAAAAATGAAAACTTATCTAATTCAGTATTTCGACAAAATTCCAAATAGTGCGCCATATCGATAACTTTTCATCACCCGACAAAGTTAATTTAAATGAAATTCTATGAAAATTAAAATAGCCAAATGAAGAGTACAATGAGAGTTACTTCATTTAATGGTTACTTTACTGACTATAGAAAAAATATTACTTACCATATACTTAAACTATGCTGACAAATACATTTATTTATACCTGACGGTTATGCTTGTCAACACCTTGGGCAAAGATTTTCAAAACGCGCCTAAATTTATGACCGTATAAAAGTTGATGACAATATACAGAAAGCAAAAGATAAAAATCGAAAAATGGGTTCCCGGTGTCAACACTTGATAACAAACTCGTTTGCTAAGAACAAAAAATAGGTATATTATAAAATTTTAGTCACTGAAACGTTTAGCTGGCATGTGTATCCTAGAAAATGATATTTCATTGCAGTTAAATAATGGAAGTTAAGAAAAGTTCAGTGGATTGATTGATTGAATTGTTTCTATGGTTTATCAATAGTTTGCATGTTTTTAAAGCCAGAAAATATTTTAGATTGCAAGAAGCTTTTGAAAATAATAATGATTTACTGATACAAGTCCTAATGTATAGCTGGCCACTCGTATTCGAGGATACCTGTCAACTAGGGCGGCAGACGCATGCTCAGGCGCATTTGTGTTTATTCAACACCCACAGAGCCCCCCCCCCGTGGTTTATGCTGCAACTATGCTGAGCAGACCTTAGTTACAGTTTCTAGGAAAGAGTGTGTTATCTAGCGTGATCAATAATTTGAACAAGGCCAGTATGCTCAAGACCTCGGCCACGATGATTTGTGACTTCGAGCTAGCACAGCTATCGACAGCTCCCAAGGGTTCCGTCTATCCAGTTTTACTCACAAGGCTAGGGTCAACCCGTGATATGGTTTTCAGGCACTTTCCAAAGTTGCCACACGTTGGGATTGACCCCTCCAGTCCGATAAGATCAGGAAGTCCCCTTCCTGACAAATCGACTATTGTGAGATTCGAACCCGTGTCTCATGATCAGAATACAAACGTTCTAACCACTCGGCCACATGCCCATAAACTCGACCACGTGCCCTTACTCGGCCACCTGCCTAAGTCCTACTAATTAACCCATAACTGGGGGAGAAGAGGTGGAATCTTTCCCAAGGGCATTTTCGCGTATGTGAATATAAAGAAGCCGACCAGAATTGAAGCCTGGCTTTCTGATTTCCTATTCCTAGCCATTACACCACACGCGCCTCCAAGACATCCAGTCAGAAAATGATTTTTTATTGTTTACTTCTCTAGAAAATTTGTTTAATTATAACATGAAAGTAAATGGTTTTCAAAAATTCCGGTTCAACGAAGAAGGTTGTTTATTTATGATTATTTTGTCAAATTTTGATATCCCATAATTTATTGGGTGAGAATATCTTCCAGATCTGAGGATTGCCCACCCCAAAATAACTTTTAAAATATTAAAAAAATATATATAGACAGAGAGAGCGAATTGTTATTGCTTGGATAATTCTTACATTTCAAGCTTATTATATAACAACAACGTTTCATGTGTATCAAAAAAATATAAATGGGGAAAAAGAGACTTTTAAATAATAAAAAATGATAAATATTTTTAAATCTTAATATAAAATAAATAATATCTTTACATACAAATATTTTTCAGTTTATTATGAGTAGATAAATTTCAGAAAAAATATATCTTTTTTAAAGGTTTATATTTAAAATAGTAAAAGAGAAAGCAATTCATAAAGGTGAAAATATATTGAGAGCGCAATCATTTTTTTTTCGGAGCTAACTCTTTTGATTACAGATGATGTGGAAGAACCTTTTATGTTAACGATCTTATTTTGGGGGATTAGTTTTTTAGAGTGCATCCGTCATTGTCATGTCGTAGACTTTTTCAGTTTAACAAAACAGGACGCATTGCAATGCTTTATTTATCTTATTACATTGCTGGCAATAAATATCTACAGTATTGATACCATGTTCCAATATTTCTTAATGAATAACACCTTTCATATTTCACAAGACATAAAGGAATGACTTCTGTGGGTGAAGATTTGGCTTTCGTGTTGGTACTGTTCTCTCATTATGTATTAACTATTATCTTTTTCACTGTCTGTTAAAATGCGAAACACATTTTTCATCACTTGTAAAAATGTGATTCAAAATGAAAGGTTATTCCTGCTGGGCGTTTTTTGTTCGGTTCTCAAATGAAACTTCATGAGGAAATCTCTTGTCAATTCTTTTCGAAATTAAACTCTGAGATTAACTATAAATGACACAGAAGAGATGCTAAATTAATTCTAGATTCAGTTTTCTCTCATTCGACCTTGGTTCAGCCTTGGTTGGCTCACTCATAATTCATAGCAATTAAATGACATAATACAGAATTGCTTTGCGAAGTAATATGCATGTCTAAATTCCTATGCTTGTTTCGCTTCTAATTGATATGAATAATACTATTTCTCCTGCTATGATGTGTCTTTTCATTTAAATTTATCTATATTAAACTTACACTCTTTGGGTCATATCCACTGTGCCATGTGTCCTCAAGGATAAAAGCGTTAGTTATATCTAGTGACAGGACCCAAAAAGTATGAGTTCAATACCTGGTTAAGCCGGTGGAGAACTTGGGAATTAACAGGAGATAAATGATAACTGACATCGATTAGACATGGCACGAGGAATTAGAACAGTCTACTCCAGCGAGCGAAATAAAGGGTTCAATTTGATATTCCAAAAACCTGAAGAAGGCCGGAGCGTACAACGTCCGAAACGTTGTGATAAATATGGCAAAAAAGATGAGAATTATAGACTGAAGAACGTAAATAGTATAAAATACGCAGATGACAACGCGTTGATGAAAGATTCAGAAAGAAAGCTGCAGTAACTCGTTGACAAGGTAGTAAAGGAAAGAGGCAAGAAAGGACTAGCCATCAATTGTAAGAAGGCAGAATGTTCGTCAGCAAAAGGAACATCCCGAGAGGACTACGAATTAGAGATATCAAAATCAATCAAGTTAGTGAAAGATGTCTACTAAAATCTAAGCAAAGTATTAAGAAACCGGAAAAGTTTGTTAGAAATATAGAGTTTTGAAATTCGATGTATGGCGGTGAATGCTAGGTAGAAATAAAGTGGAAACTTGAGGCAACAAATATGTGACCCTACAGAATGATGTCAAGAATACCATAGACGGAACATGTGAGTAACGAGGAAGTTATAAGGGAAATGAAAACAAAATGAGAACTTGTACTTAGAAACAAAAAGACCCAGTTGAGATTTCTCTGACACATAATTAAGTAACAGTACTTAGAGAAATTTGACACTCACTGGAAATATTGAAGGTAAGTTGTACAGAGGAAAACAGCCCGTAACCTACCTAAAGGTGGAGTAATGGATAACGGCTCGGATTGAGGAATCGGAGAGCCAAGTTCGAATTCCAGGCGAATCCCCTACGTGCTACTACCCTTGGGAAAGGTATAAATCCTCTTCTTCTCTCCCCAGCTATGGATAAATAGCAGGAGAGACTGGGTTCTATAGCCTTGGATGGCAACTGGTCTACCGTAGAAAGAAATGGCAACCTACTGCGGGAAAAAATCTGCCTCGTCAGTCATGTATCAAGAGATACATGATCGGCAAAGCATGTATCACGCATAGCACATAACCTACTGCACCTACCTAACAAGCTTGTGTAATTGGATGACAAGACAGGGGCTTGAAGGAATATTAAGAAGGCAAACATTACTTACATAAAGAATAGGAAGCTGTAAAGATCCCTGATCACCCATGTTCTTGGGGGCACACGGTAGATAAAAGAGGATAATCTGATGGTTGAATGAAAAATGGAGCGCTTATTTAAATCAGAATAGCTAAGAAATTACTCTGTGGATATGGGTATACAAATACCATTCGGCGGAGGACATAAGTTTCTCTACTAATTTAAGACAAATTGAAAATAAGTTTAGATTAATCTTGCGTGGCGTCAGCCAATGAGGATCGAACTAATTACACGATCAAATGACTTTCTAACAACCTTTTTAAGTTTCAAATACAGAGTCCAGGAAGATTATTTTTCGGAGAAAAATCTACTGGAGATATTTATATTCCAACCCCCACTTTTATTAAAAATTCAAGAAATGTCCCCCAAATTCTTAATTTTGGCGGCTGGCAATCTAGGATAGATCATTACATTTCTGAAAATGATTTAAAATTATAAAAAATTCGAGCGAACCTATTATTTCATCCACCTCGTTTATTTGAAACTCAAGTGTATTTCTCAACAGTAGACGTACCATGGCGATATACGTGTGTGCATTTTATTGTGTACGTATCTATCCACGTAGAGATGCCTTAAGGCGTCAGTTTATGTTTTAATGTCCCTATATGGGTATGCGTTTGTTTATATGCGTATATGTGTGTTATGTGATAGGTGTATGCGTGAGTGTGTATGCTTACATTTGTTTGTGCGCATGCGTAGTGGTATTTGTGAAATCATGCCTGCATTGTCTGGCGATTGGTTTAGTCATCCGTGCAATTCGATCGAAAATATTAACTAGAAAATCATGGCGGAGAGACAATCCAAGACATGAGAAAAATACAAAACGATAAAGACTTGAAAACAAGAGAGAGCGGAGAAGTGAGGAAAGAGAAGGAAAAAAGAAAGTAAATAGAAAAAGAAAAGAGAGAGAGAAATAGAAGATAAATATAATAAGAGAGAGAGAGAAGATATTACGTGGAAGAAAGTCAAAGATAAAGAATTGAAATAAGACAAAAGAAAGTGCGAAAAGGAAAAGAGAATGAGTGAGAGAGAAAAGCAAATGTTAGAGAATAGAAAAGGGAAGAGAGAAAAAAGAGAGAGAGAGACAGAGAAGAGAGAGAGAGAGAAAAAAGAGAGAAAGCAAAACAAAGAAATAGAGGGAAAGAGAGATGAGAGAAAGAAAGAATGAAAGAGAGGAGTGAGAGAAGAGATAAAGTAAGAGTGAAAGGGTGAAGAAGAAGAGAATGAGAAAGATAAAAGCGAAGGAAAGTGAAGGAACGACGAGAAATGCAGAGAAGAAGAAGAAGAAGAAGAAGAAGAAGAAGAAGAAGAAGAAGAAGAAGAAATCAAAGAAAAAGAAAGTGATCGAAAGAAAAGAAAATAAGGGAGGGAAGAGAAAGAAGAGAATGAGAAAGATAAAAGCGAAGGAAAGTGAAGGAAAGACGAGAAATGCAGAGAAGAAGAAGAAGAAGAAATCAAAGAAAAAGAAAGTGATCGAAAGAAAAGAAAATAAGGGAGGGAAGAGAAAGAAGAGAATGAGAAAGATAAAAGAGAAGGAAAGTGAAGGAAAGACGAGAAATGCAGAGAAGAAGAAGAAGAAGAAGAAGAAGAAGAAGAAGAAGAAGAAGAAGAAGAAGAAGAAATCAAAGAAAAAGAAAGTGATCGAAAGAAAAGAAAATAAGGGAGGGAAGAGAAAGAAGAGAAGAGAAAGATAGAAGAAAGATAACGGAAGAAAAAGAAAGAATAGCGAGAGAAAAAGAGATAAAGAAAGGAAAAGAAAGAAAAAGAAGCGGGAAGAGAGAGAGAAAGAGAAAGAGCTACGAAAGATATTGAGAGAAAGAAAGAAGAACGAGAGAAGATAAAATGAGAGATGAGAGAAACAACAGAAAGAGAAAGAGTGAAAGAGAGAGAAAGGGGAGAAAGGGGGAGGAAGTGCTGATGAGGGAACATCTGGAGAATAAATAGATATGAAGAAAGAACAGAAAATTGTGGTTAGTAAAAAGGCAGTTGTAAAATAATTGGCAATTAAATCTATACTATAATTCTGATTGTAAGATTGTTACGTTTTTCTACCTCGAATCAGAGTGTAGTAACTGTTCGATATTCAATCATACTGAGTTGGAATCATTTACGCTTTCTGACCGAGAAATTTACATAATATTTTATCAAATGTCATGTAGAGATATGACACGATCAGGGCGTATCGATTGTAGCTCTCCACACACTGCTTTTCATTATAACTTGTAAATTGCCAATTCGTCGCCTTCTCCATATTTTTTGAATTCTGGCTAGTCTTTCTCTTAGACTGGCTGTTATCCAAGGCTAGAGATCTTAGTCTACCCTGCTATTTTATCCATGGCTGGTGGAAAAGAGATGAATTCATTCCCTTCTGTAGGGCATTACTACGAAAGTGAACGCAACAGCTGAGAGCACAATTTGAACACCGCTGGCAGATTCCACTTTTGGAGCCGATAATCCTTATGCTACCCGCTCATCACTGTTTAATAATATTAAGTGGCAAATGATTTGGAAATGTCAGAAATAAGAAAAGTGGAGGGTTTGAAGTAAGAAAGGCGGAAGAGAAGAAAGCAAGAGAAACACCACTGCTTGTCTGCCAGTATTCCACTTCAGTGCGATCTTCAGACCAAGTGTTGCTATTCATTTAGCATGTAGGTCACGAGGGGAATAAATAATAAAGTGAGTAAATGAAAACCGGCTTCCCAGTTCTTTGGCTTAAGGCTAATACTTGGGGGTTATTTACAGCCATAATTTATATATATATATATATATATATATATATATATATATATATATATATATATATATATATATATATATATATTTAAATAATTCTAAAGATAAGACAAATTCAATAATAATAATAAAGTTAGGGGGCTTAAACAGGAACGTTCCTTTTTAATATTTTGAGTTTGATGTAACTACAAATCATTTCGCTTTTAAAGCTTGCCTTGATAAAGTCAGGTCGAAGAAGCACGTCAGTAATGTCTAAAATATTTTTCAATTGTTCTTTTTATCCATATATATATATATATATATATATATATATATATATATATATATATTTATAATTATTTCAGTCATTTATATATTTCATTTATTTATTTTTCATTTGTGCATTTTACTTTTTCTGAGATACATAAAAACAATATATATATATATATATATATATATATATATATATATATATCTTTCCAACACCCACTTTGATTTTTTGTTACCTTGGAAATCTTGGTTGAAAGCTTGTCTTTTCGTGGACTCAATCGCTAAAGGTAAAAACGTGGCTATATCAGCTATACGGAGAGGTGCTGCCAAATGTCGGTCTGAATGTACTCATAAGAGTAAAAAAAATAAAAAAATAAATAAATAAAAACGTCTGTCTGCGAAAGGAGAAAAAGGCATTGGTGTACAAAAGTAACCGAGAGGTGAAGAGATAATGAAAAGGCGGGAAAACGGGACAAATGAAGCAAACAATAAAAGTGTCATTGAATCGTGTCGAGATTGGCGCGGACGAGAGGACACCAATTTTCTGTCGAAGCTGAAGAAGCGAATATGTAAGTCACTTAGCACAAGCTACAGCAAGCAGAAGAGAGCATAGAAAAAAAGAAAAGAAATCGAAAGCAACACAAAGGGAAGTGGAAACAAAAAGAAAGGAAAGGAGAAAAAAAGGAATATTGCAAATGATAGCAAGACATGAATGAAGAAAATGTGAGGATAGATATGAATGATTCATTATAAAGTCGAAGATATACACGAGTAAAAATGAACGTTAATTCGGAAAAATAAAAAGAAATAGTGACGAAACAGAAGAATATGATAAGAAAAAAGAAGTCAAAGAAAAGAAAAAAATGGTGGAGTAAAAAGATAAGACCGAAAAGAGAAATAAAAAATTTCAAAAAAGAAAAATGAAACCAGAAAAATAAACTTATCTGCAAAGGAGATGCTTTATATATATATATATATATATATATATATATATATATATATATATATATATATATATATATATGGATAGTTTGCTAAAGCCGTGAAATTAGGAGTCAACGTGCAATGTTTAAATACACACACACACACACACACATATATATATATATATATATATATATTATATTTATAAGAATCTTAAGGCATGAAACTGACAGCCAAAGTGTAGCGAAGATTTCTGTATATCCACTCTATCTATAAAACGTCTATCTTCATTATTGAGTTCTCTCCAAATGTAAATATAGCAAATTTTCAACACTATATATATATATATATATATATATATATATATATATATATATATGTATGTATGTGTGTGTGTGTGTGTGTGTGTGTGTGTGTTGTCCACCCGATCATACATTAACGTACGCACACATAAATATAACTCTATAAAGTTAAAAATGAATTTGAATGAAAATCATAGAATAACAGATAAATGGTGTGATAACACACACATACACACACACACACACACATATATATATATATATATTTGTGTGTGTGCGTGTGTAAAGAATAAAAAGAAAGAGAGGGTCATTAAAATGAGAGAGAGAGAAAAGAGAGAGAGAGAGAGAGAGCGTAGGAGGTACTAATAGATGCAAACGAGCTCAGATAAAGAGGAGTAAAAACGAAGAAGCCATTGGCCGGTCTCAATAGATTTCACTGTCTGGGAGTCATGGAGACCGCATTCAATGGCGCATGAAGGATATAAGTTATCTGTTTTGATTTTACCTTCAGCGGACCCTTCTTTCTTTCAGGCCCGGCCAGTGCGAGCTTGTGGGTCAGACTGTGTCTACGTCCAGAAGGCTGTTCGGGTGTTGAAGAAAAGTGATTTATGCTAACAATGACAGCATGACAGATCAAAGCCTATTTTAGAAACGAGAAAAATCAATATTCCCCATATCGAAGTCCGTGTATTGGTTTTGGGACCGAAAGCGAAGCGTAACTGTCTCCCTCCCTCTCCCTCCTTCCCTCTCTTCTCCTCCCTCACATTTTCTATCTATCTATCTCTCGATTTCATGCTGCATTTTTGCTATTTTTTTTATATCTTTATCTCTCATTCCCTCCCTATTTCTTTCTAGTATGTTTTTCATTTTTTTCTCCTTTTAATAATATCTTTGTCTCTATCTCTCTGGTTTCCATCTCTCTCTCTCTCTCTCTCTCTCTCTCTCTCTTGTTCTAGAATCTTAAAAGATCCCCAAAGTAAAAAAAAAAAAAATAACACCCCAAAGCTACCGGCGATCCAATACAGATATATCTCCATAAAACAGGCATTTTATATATCTTCTGATTTACAGTGTCCCTAAAGTCGAGACACATAGGCAAAAATGCATATTTTCAAGAAATGAAATTTTCAACAACATGTTATTGAATTAGAATATTAACAAATAACATCTTCAATATGATTTCCATTATTTGTAATGCAAAAGTTGATGTACTTTGCAAGATTCACATGAACTCGATGCAATAACTCCACACTGATATCAATTTTAGCACATTCACTCTTTATGCGTCCAATCAAGTGTGTTGCATCTGTCATTTTAATTGAGTACACCTTCTCCTTTAGCATACCCCAGAAAAAGAAGTCAATTCTTTCTTCTTTCGACAAAACCATATTTAATCATTGGAGATAAAAATATGGTTCACGAGATTTCCTTTGTGGGCAGACATTAGGAACGCCCTGTTCAAGAAGAAGGAAACTATAGTATATACAGATATTTAAGCCACATCATTGTATAAAAAAAAACACCTCTTATGTTCAGAAGGTTGTATTTCTTTTAGACTAATTTTTATAATAAAAAGGGGACAGATTCAGCTGAGGATTGTAAAAGAATTACAAGCATAGAACGTTTCTAACTTGCTTAGTTGGTGGTCACCCTTGAGCAAGAATTAGCAGGTTTCAACGTTCAACAGTTTTTCTCTGACAGTTTTTCAAATTTTTGTAAACGTGATTAGAGAATATGAAAAACTATCATTAGAAGTTCGGATAATATATGACTATTAAGCAGGAGTCAATGAACTCTTATATTTAAAATATTTACGAGAAAATTTAATTAAAAATAATAATTTCTTTCCTTTTACACGCAAAAAATATATACACGCAAAAAATATATAGTAATTGTAATGGTAATATTATTTCCTTATAAGGAAATATTTGCTATTCATTGACCGAGCAGCCAGTACCACTGTCGATTAAAATTTAAGAATAACTTTCTTTTAAGACAATTATTCAGGAAATAGGTCCACCTGGACCAGTAACAGTTATCGCTCTTTCCAGTATTAATAGGGGTGGTCCTTCCTAACATTTTATTTGAAGTAGTGGGGAATGTCAACATCTTGATTATGTCATTATTTTTTCTATTAATCCATTTTAGTTGTTGCTGTTGATGAATGTGCTCAGGTGATGAGGTTACTCTTATTTTTTCCAGTTTTTTGTTTGTTTGTGATTCTGCAGCGCCAGTCCAAAACGTTTGAAAAAGAATAGTCTTCGGCAAGATTCACAGATTTCATTCACTGTAAGTCATTTTTAACCAACTAATTCGTAGGTTAATATTTATATTTTTGTAGCAGTTTCCGGCGTTGGGAGATACCCTCTCTCTCTCTCTCTCTCTCTCTCTCTCTCTATCTATCTATCTATCTACACACAGACGCACACACACACACACACACACATATATATATATATATATATATATATATATACAGAGAGAGAGAGAGAAAGAGAGTTTGTTCTGCAGTTACCACCCGAACAAATCAAATCCACTTATAACTGCAGAAGAAAGAACGAATGTCCCTTAAATGGCAATCGCTTGCAGCACAATGTAATATGCCAATACACTCTAAAATCAGCATCTAACGAAGAAAAGATATGCATAGAAGTAAGAGAAAGATCCTGGAAACAAAGAAACTACGAACACAAAATACCCTTTACAAATTGTAAATATGCA